GAACCTTTCTACTTGAATTTGGATCAGGAATGCACTCTTGTAACTACAGCCAATCATTAAGTAACACCCTGTACTAGTACCGAATATAATCATTTTTGAATTGATGACAGCGTTGCGTAAAAAATTCGGAGTCAACCTACTTGACGCTATTTTTTAAGCGAACAGAACATGATCTTTTATGAACTTTGTTTAAGTATGTAAGACAAAAAACATCTTGTAAAATATCATTTCACTTTGTATGCCACAACTGGAGTCAATCTACTTGACGCATTTTTGTACATAAGTTACTATTACACAAAAGCGACGAAATGTAGCATTGCATTATCTCAAACATGTTAAACTCTTGTAATGCCGTATTCGAATTGCATTTCTGGAGGCTTTACATTTAAAAAGAAACCTCAACAAGGTAATTGCATGCCGCTTGAACTCTTCTACTTTTCATTCATATCACACGTTTACATAACCATAAGGTATAAGCATAACCATCAGTATGTAAATTCCAACAAACTGTATCATCATATTCATATGCAATCTACCACGTAGCGGTAATTTTTCTGATGATACTCATATTCGCAAAGTTCTAGTGGTTTTCCTTGATGTCAGACGCAGAGGCGTAGTTGCTCGAATATTCAGAAACTTTTGAAGTTTTTTCTAGTTAAAAGTCTACACCCAATAGGGATAACGTAATAGCCTAAGGTACATCAAAGAAAATGTTGAAGCTTTGCCTATTTATAGAAAAGATAGTGGTACAGACTGTCACACGACGTATTGTCTTTTTCACGAGTATAAAATTGACAAATGACACATAGGTAGACAAGACTTGACTATTACGAGTATTACTGCCGACTAAGGCTCACAACAAAGTTTGGGTCTTTGATGATGAGGACATGCCCGTAGCTGTCTAAAAATCCCGATCTGTTAAGAAAAAAATGATGGCTGTATTTCGTGATATACATACATATCATTTTCAAAAATTGTCGAGAGGAAGCGTGGAAAGCAAAAAGTATTTGCTACCGCACTGGTTACATGAGGTCGACCGCAGCGTACGTGCACAAAAACATTAAACAACCTCCACTTTTATTACCAATTCCAGCTTCGAACTTCAGCTTTTACCTGAATAGAAATAAATTTGCCAGTCTGAGCTTTTGGAATTCCTTTCAGCCTGCAGATACACGTCCGCTGCTAATTTGTACCGTTTCATTTCTAACCTGAAACACAAAAACAAGCGCAGTTTTGCATCTGTATCAGAATATTTCTAGCCTACAGGGTGAGCCTTCAACGATTGCTTATTCAAACATAGTATAACCAAAGGATGGGCCATGACTTTCCATCTGAATCGCTCGATTAAGTCGTTTCTTTTATTGTGAGACATGAGGATGCGTATTGTTGTGGTCCAGTCCAGTCTTTCCCTTTTTGAGTTTTCCCCTAGCACGATTTTGAATTTTCCGTCTTAGCTTTTTCTTCATATACTTCACTCAAGTGGCATTGAATTGCTATGAGTGGTAACGTTTTTTGTTGGGATCGCAGCGTTAGGAACATTATTTTTGAGACAACCCTCGTAGTTACACCAAACGAAGTCACTTCGTTTATGTCTTTATGATCCGCTGGTCGGCCCTATTGACCTTGGGATTCCTCAGCATTATCGCAAATATATCTGACATTATTGCGAACTGGTATGGTTACTTTAAAAGTTAATCACATCTTACGTATTTTGCAGACCTCCAGAAAACATATTTTTCAGACGGGTTAAATAGGGGACTGTGTTGAGAAATAAATCGCCACTTTTCCAATATTTTCGTTTTTCTTTTGTAGGCCAAGTACTTATCGGACCGTCCTCGTATCACATCAGTGCGCGATTCGCTCATAGGTGGCTCTGTATGTATAGAGGCGGTGTTGCCAAACTGCCATAAAATGTTTAGAAAGCGCTACATTTAGACTGAGTTGAATAGAATTCACTTCTTTTAAGTCAGGTGAACGATCTAGCTACGAAAAAATCGCGGATCTTCCCGATATCTCCGTAACATTGTTTGACAATAATCCCGGGATTGTAGAGATTGTACTCGCTGTTCGTGGTACGGGTGTAGCTCGTTATTGCGCAATGTTCGGTGGGCTATACTTTAGGACACTCCCGTGCTTGCTTCTATTTGGAAATTCCTCCTTCACCGTGAGCTTGATTCGGGAATCGTCCTCCTAGTCAGAATTCGACAATCGACTCTCATGCACTAGATGTCTCATCAGTTTGGAGTTTTTTGAATCACTCTCTATACGTATAGGGTATAACCGCAAATTGCATTTTGTCAATAGAATAGATACTGAAATTGAGTTTCTGGCATGGTATTGTTATTTGGAACATACAGACCGGAATTGAAGGGGGTAGCTCGATCACAATATGAAATGAAGTTGAATATCCAATCTAAAAATCCTTTGTTTCTGTCATTGATAGAAAACCGTGGCACACTGAATTCATGTGGCACGGACATGCACAAGCTGATGTTGTATGCAAAAAACAGAAAAAAACTTTCTGCGCTAAAAATACTTACAAACATTTAGCTACTTCTTTCATGTTATCCACACTTTCAGGATTCAGTTTCAAACAAGTTTGAAATGATTCGAGCGCTTCTTGGAGTTTGCCTTCTTCCTTCAAGATCTCGCCCTTGAAAACGTAAAAAAAAGACAGTAATGAGAAATATATTTTCGTAATTATAAACATCGAAATGAAGAGTTTGGTTCGGTGTTGAAATTAAAACAACTTGATTGTGGCTTATCTACGATTTTTACTTTCCACGCAATCGGCGAGGAAGTATCGTAATCGTCCAAAACTTCGTAAATAAGATTATGTATTTTGGATGTTGTATAAATAACGTGTAAGACAAACAAGCCGGTGAGCTGGGAAAAAGAAGACTAGTATCCAACTACAAAAACAAGTTTTGCCGTGTTGCCAGTGGCACATCTTCCAACAACATCGGTAACTGATATTTTGTAATATTTTCAAAAAAGGTGGGGATGGGTATTCTGATGAATAAAATTAGTTTAAGAAAATAAAAATTTAGGGGATTTCAGTATGAAACTTTTTTTGGTCTGAATTTTAGATTATCTTTAAAGATCAGATATCATTACATTCAAGATTGCAGTTACGCCTCCTAGCGACAATTTCAGAAACTTGAAAATATTTTCCAGGTGTTTCTCTTGACCATTTTAGCAAGAACTTTTTTTGCCGGAAGCCTCTACGATGGGCAGTATATAACATCCAAAAATCATAATATTTCAATTTCGAAATTTTTCGCCAGTTTTGGCACAGGAAGTGAAAATATAATTTTTTATTAAAACTGTAGGATATAAAATAGAACCTTTGGAAACTCGACAGAAAAGTAACAAAAAAAACAATCAAATAACATGTCGGGTGTTATGACGTCACTGTGAGGTGCGCCAAAAATGGGGCGTTTAAATAAAGGTCAATATTTAATTCAAAGTGCAGACATCTCTAAGAATGAATTGTATGTTGACGGTACTGTATTAATCTAAGTAATTGACAGAAAATGGAAAAAACGTGCATATTCCTTATTATGTATACCTATTGGATCGGAATTTGGACAACAAACCTGTTTGTAAAACGCGACTTCATTTTTTCCATTGCTACGAGCTATTTCTTTCTTGATCAGTTCTTTGCATCTGTCTATTTCGCCATTTACATGAAACATATGCATGAGCCAGTTGTATCTTTCCAAAGATTGGAAATTGTTTACCATCTCGCTTGATGAGTGATTTTTATCTTAAAAGAGTGATGTTAGCAAAATCGATAAGCAATTTATTCTGTTAGTGAGTTACCAGCGGTTTTTGGGAAAAATTGTTTACCGTTCATCATTTTTTCCTGGCTTTCGTTATACGGGTAGGGCAGCTATAAAACAGTAGTAATGCCTCTGTTGTGATTGTATTACGGTTGCTTAGAAACGAGGTCTTATCGAGAGGGAGTAAGGGATTTTGAATAAGAACTGATTAAGTAGAGACCTATATAATGTCAAAAAAAAACGACAAAATGTCAGCTTTCAAGATACTCGGAAATCCTGCCGGTTGATGTTTGAATTAGTAGTAAAAGTATGTGAGTTCAAAAATGTGCACACGTTTCTTCTGTAGCCGTCAATTAAATTGTGAAAGTCACATTATCCTTTCACAACCTATCAAAAAGCTCAACCACTGAGAAAAGGGATCAATATCAAGGACAAAAAAAATCAACCTACTCATATCCAAAATCGAACTTGGTCATGTGCTAGGGGACCAAAATCAAAGCTGGCCATGACGGTGATCAATGGCCAACTTCGATCTTGGAGCTCCAGAATCAAATTATCATGTTATATAATTAGGTATTTATTATGGTTCAAGCGGTGATTCCATCGTCGTTGGTACGAGATCAAGAGACGAGAACATCTCGGATCTGCATGTTGCATGATGACTTTCGGGTTATGAGACATAGACACCTTTGATTTTAAACCACAATCGTGACAATTAAATATCTTCTTGGAACTTATCTTAATAACGATGGTCTATAAATATATCGACCATCCCTCGTATATAACCTGAGCAATATGAGTTGCCTACGTCGATCTTGCGCTGCTGGTGCCATCCCGTCGTTCATCGAACAAACACCAACTGCGAGGTTACATCCTTTCTCCAGAGATGGCACTTGGCACACTCTACTACCGCATTTTACAATTCAAATACATGACCAATGTTGTACAATTCAGCAACCGAGAGAATCCAGAGTAATTTTTGAGTCGGTTTTCTCCGATTTCTGTAGCAATGTCCATTATATCGGAAATAATATACAAAAACAGTAAGCCTCAGCAACCCTCTAAGCACAACGCTGCAATACTGGTTGCCTGACTATATTCTACGATGATAGCGCCATCACTTGGTGAAGATTCTATAATTGTGCGAATGCAAAAAGGTATCTACATCTTTTTTTAACAGTAGCGCCCCTCCCCAACTGATTAATTTGTCATCAACTGTCACATTGACGTTAGTTTTGTGTTGTATTCGAACGTGAAGAAAGTTGTTTTATTATGTACTTATCTATTCCCTTGAAAGTATGATTCAAGCTGTTAATTCAAATGTATAGTTAGTGCTTAAGTGAATCAAGTGTAGTGTTTTAAGTACGTCTATTATTAAAAGCATCAATATGGTTATTAACAAAATCGAACCACAAGAATGCCTAAGAGATTCTCCGAAGTTCAGGCAAGTAATTACTATAAAAATATACGTAAACACTTATAATTTGATTTACGCATCGCTTAGGAAACGTAGTAAGTGAAATAAAATTGTAGGAGTGTCTTAGAGGAAGAAGAAACTAGCATAGATCAACTTGAGGGCAAACTAGAAAAGATATTGAAAGTCTGCGGATCTATGATAGATGCTGGAAAAACATATGTTGGACAACAAAGGTTTGCCTCAATAAACTTAAATTGCCCTAATTACTAATATAAACACAGCAGTGAACAGCTAATTTAACAGAGGAATCTTTCAACAAAATTGTTCCCACACATGACAGATTGTATGTTTCTTCAATCTTAAATTAGCAGTTATGCTTGAAAACCAGCACACATTGTGCTATGTATTTGAGAATTTCAACACAATAACACTACTTCCTATTGATCCTGATGCACAGTTTTGTTTGATAAGATCTCTGTTTTGATGATTCAGTGATAAAAAATGCATGTTAAAAGTGCACATTGATAAAAAAATGTTGTATACATTTTTATGTCTTATAAGCATGGCTATCTCTTATAGCAATTTTATATTTTAAAAGTGGGAAATTGTTATATACAGTAATAGACAAATTAATATTGTGCTGTATTTCTTTTTGAACTAGTTTTATTAATACACCAACCTTATACATAAATAAATACATTAGACTCCTTTAATAAAAAATTAATTGAAAAAAAACTGGAAATTACTTTTATTAATCTAACTGATCTAGCATTTAGTTTGCTAGGCTGACCACTTCTCTTAGAGGCTTCCAAGACACCTTTTCGTTTATATTTGTCCAATATTGCTCAAACTGACCAATGATCTTAGTTTTCACATCGAAAGAAATTTCTGGACCATGCAGCATGGTCTTAAAATCACTCAACTTATTCCACAATACTTGATCAACACAAACTAATCCTCTTCTGACACGAAACTGTACTAAACTAATGTTGAAAAGAATTTGTCTACATATTTTTGTCCCTCATAAAAAAATGCTTATATTCAGACTTGTATTGTGTTCAGATAATGTAAAAACAAGGAATTTAATTTTTCTACTAATAACGCAATTGTTTATGGAGCAATGAAGTATGAATTCATTTCTAAAGGCATTTAGGTAAATATTCATATTTGTCTATATACTTGTGTCCATTACGTAGTCATGCCATAAGTTCTGTCCCTCGTTTTCAAACAAGTGTAGACCTGTTAATACTTGTCCGATTGTTTACATTGTGGTGTCAGTTGATTAAGCGCTTTTCGGGTAATTACATATACCTCAGTTTGTATTGATCTCTCGAAGCATAACGATGGAGTGGGGCAAGGCAGAGAACCGTATTGCAGTGATAGCTTTACATAAGTGTAATCACAGTGCTAGTCAGATTTTTGAACTCTTACGCGGCCTTCAAATATCGCGTAAATTTGTGTCTAGGACCATTAAGCGGTACAATGAGACGTCCTCTGTTGATGACAGGCCAAGAAGCGGAAGACCTCGTCAAGTAAGGACTCCAGCAGCCATCAAAGCCGTAAAAGCCAGGATTCAAAGGAATCCACTCCGGAAGCAGAAGATCCTATCCAGGGAAATGAAGATTCCTGTCCGGACGATGTCGCGCATCATTAAACAAGACCTAGGGCTAGGGGCTTACCGGAGACGTACGGGCCAGCGACTTACGGCCACCTTGCGACACATCAGGGCGACAAGATCCAAGAAGCTCTTGGAGAGGTACGCAGCTGGGGGATTCCGAAAGATTTTGTTCACGGATGAGAAAATCTTCACCATAGAAGAAAAATTCAACCGACAAAATGACAAAGTGTATGCAAGGAGTTCACAGGAAGCTTCGGAGATCATTCCGAGAGTTGAGAGAGGCCACCACCCTGCGTCAGTCATGGTTTGGTGGGGGGTGTCCTACGAAGGGGTCACTCAGCTCCATTTCTGTAAATAGGGCGTGAAAACAAAAGCGGCAAACTATCAGAGCGACATACTGGATCCTATCGTCAAGCCTTTAAGTGGTACATTGTTTGCCAACCAACACTGGGTCTACCAGCAGGATTCCGCCCCCGCTCACAAGGCTAAGAGTACGCAGCGCTGGCTGGAAAGCAATGTGCCAGAGTTCATTGCTGCGGAAGATTGGCCCTCAGGGAGTCCGGACCTCAATCCTTTAGACTACAAGTTGTGGGACCTGCTAGAGCAGTTGGCCTGCTCCAAAGCCCACCGTAATATCGAGTCCCTGAAAGCGGATTTGATCCGATCAGCGGCAGCTATTCCTTTGGAAGCTGTGCGTGCAGTGATAGATGAGTGGCCCGCGAGATTGAAGCAGTGTGTGAAGGCCAAGGGGGGACATTTTGAATAAAACTGTTTGATTATGAATTCTAAAAATGTTGTCGAATAAATAATATCTTTCATATAAATATATCTTATCTTGTTTCATTTTTATCATGAGATTATCATGGGACAGAACTTATGGCACGACTACGTACTGTATGTGCCACACAGTTTCCAATTGTTTGTTTTTTAATACCTCATAAGAACCTTATTTTTGCTAGTCTGTCTTTGATCTGGAATAATTCACTGAATTGAGGATATTAAAACAATGTTGTTGTTGTGTTTATTATCTAACAATATAGCATAAATTATTCTTTTCTGATAACAGTACTGCTGCCACATTAGGAATAATGGTTCATATAACAGTGCTACCCACACATTTTTGGATGACTCATTCATAATCTGTGAGAAAACAGATATTAACACATATTTATATTAACTTTCTGCAGAGATTCTCAGTTGCATTACATAGCCTAAATAAGCTGAGTCTGTTTTAAAATAGATTGAACAATGAGTTCCTTATATTCCCCTAATGCATTCTGAAATATTTTACATTCCTCATGGCATGGAATTAATCTTATAGTCCAGACAATAGTTAAAGATACAGTTATTTTGGGTACTAAATAAGTTCAAATTTGGCATCACGGCTGATCGTCAATAGGTCGGTTTTTTAATTACAGTACATTTTTTGATACAAAGAAACAGCACATCTTCAATTTTTGTCATCGACCGGAAAATATGCGATTGATTCAAGTATTTGGAAATGGCGATAATAAATAAACGTAAAATTAGTTTAAAGATCAACGTTTCCAATGAAAAATTTCGTCAAATAAAAAATTTTTATAGGCGGAGGTGTTGATAACAACAAATATGGTTCAAAATGCCTCTTTATCGCGGCTGAAGGTATGTGTAATAAAAAAGGGACGTCCTTTCTTGCAAATTCTATCTTTTCCCTCTGCTATATCGACTCCGTATTCCATCAGGTAAAGATGACTCATCGACATCAACCAGTCTACTTTATCGTGGAATTCTCGGCGATTCATTCGAGAGGATGTATACCCGTCTTTTATAAATACATAATAACAGAAGGCAGGTCTGCTTTCTGTTTACTTTTGATAATTGAAGCCGTATGCAACATCTTCATCTCGCCTAATATAATTAGGAATAGAAATAGTCGAGTAATACAATCGCATTGGATATTGACAGAAATACGAAAAGTAAAGTATGCAGATATACATAAAATACATCATTATTTTATGGCGGAATATTGCCGAAAGGATAATAATAACAATGTTTATTGGTCTAACTACAGAGTTTTCGTATAAATAATAATAATAAACAGATATCCAAAAAAAGTATACACTTGTGTTTGGGTTCAAACAGAAGTTATATAACGGGTGATTTTTTAAGAGGTATAGGATTTGATTTTCAACAAAAAAACACAAAAAATTTGAAAAAACGATTAAATCTTTATTTGAGTCGATAGAACGGTCGATATAATTTAATGTTTAAAGATGATTTCATGTAAATGTTGGGCGCGGCTCCGCTTTAGATGGCCCATGCGCAAGGTCCAATTTAGGCACACTCTCTCCAACATATCGGCCGGTATCTCACGAATAAATGCTTCAATATTGGCTTCCAGTGCGTCAATCGTTGCTGGATTATCCCTGTAGACATTAGCCTGAACATGGCCCGACAAGAAATAGTCCAACGGCGTTAAATCACACGATCTAGGCGGCCAATTGACAGGCCCCAAACGTGAGATAAACTGTTCACCGAACTCGCCTCTCAATAGGGCCATTGTTTCGTGTGCGGTGTGGCATGTGGCACCGTCTTGTTGAAACCGCATGTCAGCCAAGTCCAGCTCTTCCATTTTGGGCAAAAAAAAGTTTGTTATCATCGCACGGTAGCGTTCGCCATTCACAGTTACGTTCCCGCCATTGTCGTCTTTGAAGAAGTACGGCCCGATGATGCTACCGGTCCATAAACACTGGCGGATACAGCCGCAATATTTTCTTCAGTCCTCACTCTACGTCTCCGTGTTGGTGGTTTAATGTCCAATAATGTAAACTGGGTTCGAAATTTAGTCACAAGCTTCCGAATAGCTCCTCAGTAGGCCGACCAAATTGCCCATAAATTGGAAGCAGTGCTCGATGCACTTTGTTAACCGAGCATGAATTTTGATAGTAAAATTCAATAATTTGCAAGCGTTGTTCGTTCGTAAGTCGATTCATGGTTAAATTATAGACCAAACTGAACAAGTTTGACAATGACACAAGACAGGATTCACGCGTCATCTGTCAAAAACAGTGTTGCCAAAAAGATACTAGCAAAAAAATCACCCATTATATTATAAAAAAATGACAACAAATTTCCTATAATTATACTAGTCAAATGTATAAAATTGTAACAATGTACTAACTTATTGATTTTTGATATTTGCGAGTTTATTTGGTTTAAAGTCCATAACTTTGAAATTTTGCATAAATAACCTCATAAAATGTTGAGCCTAGAAAGTAGGATTATCTTTCGCCGATCGTTTTACTTAGTATGGGAATAAGCGCAGATGATTCTTTGAAGCCTTTGATACGACGAATATTATGGTTAGAATTTTTGATTTTTTTGTTTATTAATAAATGTAATCATTTCAAAAAACTAATTATGAATTCAGCACGAACCTCGTGTTTCAATAAACAATGCATAACTGATGGTACTCCTTACATAATACAAAGATAATATTTCACAATATTTAAAAGTTGTACACATTGTTTCTGTGTATGGGATGTAGTTAACACAGTTACTGAAGGTGTACTATTTTTTACTTCCCATGCCAATCGGCGAAGAAATATTTCAGCCAAAATTTTCGAAAATTAATAATTATTTTTTTTAACGATACTCATTTTTGGAATCTTTTTGCACTAGTCTGTTATCAAGTTTCTTGAGCTTGATAATGTTTTGCGATTTTTCAGATCCGCGTATTTTATTTTCAGCCTTTTTGCGAACAGTCTATGGGATCTGAGCACGCATTTCAGGGAAGACCCGATGGTCTTATCTTCTTTGAATAAGCTAATTCACAGTTTGCAGGAAATGAACAAATTCCACACGATTTTGTTGGATCAAGCCTCGCGTACGATTCTCAAAAACATCACGTCTTTCATAAAAAAGTAAGTGTCAGGTGTCGTCTGATGAATTTGAAATAAGCTCTCTTATTTTACATGCATGCTTTGAAATTTTCTGTTTACAATAAGGTATTGAAAGTTGGATCACCAAGTTTAACTTAATACTAATAATTTGGAAAGCAGTTTAAAAATGCATTTACTTTTTTCAAAAAAATGCGTGCTTGCCGAGTATTCGGGATATTTGACAGATATAATTTTGCAGTGATATCAAGCAAGTGCGTGATTATAAGCAACATTTCGAGAAGATCTCGACCGAATACGATACAATTCTTATCAGAAACTCGCATACACCTAAAAGTAAACCTCAAGAAGTTGAAGAGGTTCAAAATATATTGGTCGCCGTCAGATCCTGTTTCGGCCACCAAACGCTAGACTATGTCAACAGTATAAGTGTTTTGCAGATGAAGAAGCGCTATGAAATTTTGAGTACGGTAAGTTATATATGTAATTTTCTTTCATGACATTTAAAACTTCGATTCCCGTAGAAAAATGTAGCACAAAGTTGCAAAATTTGAAAAGGGTTTTCTAATGGTGACCTTGAACGGAACCTTGATTATGACCTTCAGGGTCATTTGAAGGTCAAAACGTTCAAGAAATGCCTTGTCCATGACCTTGACTATGAGCTTCAAGATCATTTTACGGAGTCTAAAAAATATAGATATAACAAAATATCTCCTAAAATATTCCTAGAGAAAAATGTAGATCGAAGTTACAAAATTTGAAAAGAGTCATCTGATGGTGACCTTGACTTCTTGACTATGACATTCAAGGTCATTTGAAGGTCTAAACAATTTTCCTGATTGTGAACCCCTTGATTTTGACACCGCAAATGTAAATAGCGGAAAATTTTACGTTCCTTGTACATGACCTGGACTATGACCTTCAAGGTCATTTTACGAAGTCCAAAAAATATAGAGATAACAAAATATCACGAAAAATATGGTTTGTAGAGAAAAATTTAGAACAAAGTTGCAACATTTGAAAATGGTCATCTAATGGTGACCTTGAACGTGACCTTGGCTGTGACCTTCAAGGTCATTTGATAGTCAAAACAATTTTCGTAAATGTAAATCCATTCCTAAAGATAGGAAATTCTACATTTAAGTAAGTCCTGGTCCATAACCTCGATTATGACCTTCAAGGTCATTTTACGCTGTCCAGAAGGTATCGAGATAAAATATCAAAAATGCTGCTAGAGAAAAATGTAGAACAAATTGCAAAATTTGAAGAGCGCCATCTGATGGCGACCTTGACTATGACTTTCAAGATCATTTGAAGGTCAAGACCCTTTTCCTAACTGACACAGGAAATGTAAAATGCAGGAAATTTTACGTTATCTGACGTCCTTGTTCATGACCTTGACTGTGACCTTCAAGGTCATTTTACGGCTTCCAAAGGGTATGGAGATAACAAAATACCAAGAAAAATATGCATCCCGGATAAAAATGTAGGACCTAGTTGCAAAATTTGAAAAGGGTCATCAAATGGTGACCTCCAAGTGACCTTGGCCGCGAAATGTTTAGCTTTTTATATTCCCGACAAAAAGTAACGAGCTTGCGTGCAAATTTATCTGGGTTTCAAATAACCTTCAGCATTTAAATATTTCAACATAAAATTGTGCGCAATTTTTATTTCAGTAGCTGAAAATATATTTTCTGTTGAAAGTTCATTTGATCTTCAAATGGCCTTGACAAACACATGCAACTCATACAGTGTTCGTATGTATATTGAAGTACGTTGTTGCTTGTCGTTTTCTGTTAAAACCAGTATCGATATACTTCAAAAGGTATTATTTACATATGTTCGCAATTATGCTGCCTTTCATGCCTATAGGAGGTGAATACCACTTGGGTCTGTAGAAAAAAAGCGTTAACAATAGAATCGTTAATCAAGCCATGAGATGCGCGTAGCATTGAAAATTAAATATGTATGTTAAGAGAACACACGCTTTTCAATAGGATTACATCGTTGTTTAACAGAACATCCTCATTTTGAACACTCGTTTCAAAAGTCTGACTTGACTCTTCTAACTACCTGAATTGAAATATTATTAAAAAATATATTTTTTGTTCTTGAGATAAATATTTGACAAAACCAGCTTATTAATAATAATTCCAGTTATGCCTCACTATGTAAGAAAGGTGAAACTAGACTATATAAACAAAATTAATTTTCATTAATGAACCAAACATCATTGTATAGGGTGTTAAAAACTAGATTCGTTTCAACTGGTATCTTCTTGGAATTTTGTTAACGAACCTTCGATGTTCGTGATGATTAACAAATATTAGATATTCGTAAGCACATGTGTGACTCATACGGCTTCAAAAAGTAATTTAGCTATTGTGTTTCCTCTATCCAACAGTCGAACGTAATATTCAAACCAGAAAACGTTAACGTGTGATTATGAAATTTTTATTGGTTAGAAATGCGAAATCATTCATCAAAAGATTATAATTGTATGTCTCAGAAAATGATTTTGTTTGTGAACAAGTTAAAATGCTTAGCTGTGCCGTGCGTTTCTAATTAAACGTGTTACTATGTGTATTCCAAGTGGAGTGTGATTTGCAACAAAACTATAATGAAATCGGAAAGAAGTGTCGATAGTGTTTACAGAATGATATACAGCGGTATGGTTTTAAGGAATTTTGACTAATTTAAACGATACATTAATTTCACAATGAAGGTTCAAATTATGCTCGCAATGTATATATACGGAATTTTTTTAAGTACTAATTATTAAAATCGACATTATTGACCTCAATTCCTCACTGAATAATAGCTTTTCTCTCCCAAGTGAACAATGATAAAAAACGCCGTAGTCAATAATAATGTCTCTTTAAAAAATTTGATCCTGGAATTTCATCATGTCAGTTTGACAACTAAATTTTGACTTTACACGTCCCCATATTGCTCCTCACACTACGGACTTTCTTCAAGAAGCAGGCGTTAATGTTGAGCCATGGCCACCCCGTTCACCGGATTTAAATCCCATCGACATGTGTGTGATATATAACCATTTTACAAAATCCGCCACAGACTCTGCCACAGCTAATTCACCAAGTTTCAGATGCTAGGAATGAGCTGCCACAACATCTCATTTCGTTGATCCCTAGACATATACAGGAGAGTATTCAGCTGCGGGGTGCCCAACACCAAATGTTATCATTTCATTCTTGACGTAAGACTACCTCATTGAAGACATTATTTTTTCTGGATGTAATACTTCACTACCTGCAATACACACAATACACTCGTTCTAAACACTACAGTAAACAAACTGAGCGTGTTGTTATCATGTATAATTTGAATCAAGATATCCGTAGATACGAGATAATTCAGCAACTTCGATTTTAGGATTACTTAACTTTATCTCAATATTGTTTTCTGAGTAATAAACATTATTTTCAGCTTCTGTCATACATGCATGCTTGCACGACGTATTACCATCAGGGATCTGATTTGTGCGCCGATTTGGAACCGTTCTTCAAAACCTTAGCTGATGAGGTATGTATAACTATACATATACAGTATTGATTTGCATTTTTCACAAGAAAATACCGGAATCAATTAAAGCGCTATCCGCCTGTCGCTAATCAAGCCGAGGTACACAGAAAGCTCCCGATTTATGCACCTTGCTTATAATAGGAAGCATAGCTATAGATCTGTAGTTATAAGGATCGGTGTTAGACCTTTTTTGGGACTGGATGGACATGAGAAAATTTCCAGTCTTTAGGTGACTCTACCCTAATCCCTAGAAACAATTATACTAAGTGACATATAAATCCAAACACCCAGTTTAAATGGTTTTATTTTAATAAAATTTTGTATAAGTACTTAATGAAGCATAATAAGTAAATGATAAAAATTTCAAAATGATTGCACTGCTTTAAAGCCCTTTGACCTTTAATAATGTGTGGATGCACCCTGATGTGCTACGCATTCTCCAACGCGCCTAGGCATGCTTCTGATCAGGTGGTCAATGTCCTCCTGTGGTATCTCATTCCAGGCAACCACCAACTCCTCTCGAAGTGCTTCTAGAGTCTGAGGAGGACGTTGCAAATTGAGCAATCTCCTACCCATCATATCCCACACGTGCTCAATTGGGGATAAGTCGGGAGATCTTGGTGGCCATGGTAACAATGTGACATCATTATGTTGAAAGAAGTCTATTGTGACGCTTGCAACATGTGGTCGGGCATTATCTTGTTGGAAAGTTGGATCTGCCAGGGTGTCAAGATAGGGTAAAAGATGGGGTTCTAGAACTTCGTGGATATAACGTTGCGCGTTCATGTTAAGATTAAAGGTGACCTGGAACCATAAGCTATAGCACCCCAAACCATAACTCCAACAGTGTGATGAACATGTCTTTCAACAAAAAACTGTGGATTCCTCCTTTCACCACGTCGCCTTCTAACCCTGGCACGACCATCGTGCATGCCTAAACAAAATCGAGACTCGTCACTAAAGACAATACTGTTCCATTCCTGATCCCAGAGTGACCGTTGTCTGCACCACTCAAGGCGATTACGTCGGTGTTCTCGAGTTAAAGGGAGGACCCAGTGTGGCCGGTATGAAAACAAGCCAAAACTTCTCATTCGTCGGTAAACACTTCGCATGCCAATAGGTCTTCCGTGTTCTGCAAACCATTCATTTGCAATGGGCCTGGTAGTGGAGAAACGGTCCCTTAAGGCCAATAATCTTAGGCGGCTATCTTCACGGTCTGTTGTTCTACGGTGGCGTCCAGTGCCCCTTGCTCTTTGCGTACGGCCTTCTCGAAGCCATGCCTGACAACACCTAACCACAGTGTCTACACTTCTTTGCACTCTAACTGCAATTGCCCGAAAAGAAAGTCCAGCTTCCCGAAGTCCCACTATACGGCCCCTATCAAACTCACTAAGTTGACGAAATCGTACAGGTCTCCGTACTCTAGGCATCGTAACCGATCGTAAAGGATGTCAAGAACCAAAATCCGCCAACGTTGATTCTTTACTGCGGCTGAAATATTCATTTTTAGAGCGTTAGTGAATTAAAAAAAAAGCAGTATAAAAACCGGAATGTCCAACTGATAAGGCTGAAAATTTTTTCACTTGTTATTTACAGTAAGATAAATACATTCACCAACTTTGATTAAAATAAAACCATTTAAACTGGGTGTTCGGATTTATATGTCACTTAGTATATGAGAAATGTTGAGGAGCGATTTTTCCCTGTGGGGTTGATGTCTGCTTATGAATAAGCAATCTTATTTGAAAATCTATTTTTATTATTTTTAAGGGCAACATGGCTGTGACAAAACGATGTGTCAACTACGTACCAAATAGCTTAGCTTAGGGTCAGGTATTTTTTTAAATGTGCGTGTTTTTTCAGATAGCTACAATGAGAGATGAAACGTACAAACTGCAAAAGGACCTCGAGAATACTCACGCGTCCGTATCGAATATAGAACTAGTCACCAGGAAAAACGAAAAGAACTCTCCTACTATGGAGGGATATTTGTTCAAAAGAACCTCGAATGCTTTCAAGACGTGGAACAGAAGATGGTTCTACTTATATGACAATAAGCTAGTATATAGGTAGGCATTATATTTCATGTGGCAAACGTTTCACAGGATGAGCGGCGGTCCTACCTAATTTTTCGTAACTTTGGAATTGTTTCAGAAAAAGATCTGGTGAAGAGCAAGAGACTGTTATGGAGGATGATTTGAGGTTATGTACAGTTAAGCCGGTGTCAGATGGAGAGAGACGGTTTTGTTTCGAGGTGCTGTCGCCTGCGAAGTGAGTTAACAGTTTATTCTAATGTGTTGATAGATGCTATAAAAAACGCTATTGTATTTGTTTTCTCCAAAATTATGATTATATACTAAGTCACATATAAAAAGCAACATCCAAAATTCTTGATTGAATTTTGATAAAAACTTATTTGCTAGTACTCGTATAGTATACGCAGATGAAATGTTGAAGGCATTTCTAGCCGTACTTTTTTTGTTGAGGCTTTTGTGTTCATATCAGGATCTGAACAATATGAACATGCTTGCTTGATATTCGGTGATTTTTCTGTGTTCGTTCCATTTGTTTCATTGCATTATCGTGTCTAGAGTTCGAAGACGCGCTAAATTATAGCTTTATTATAATCCTTTAGATGCTCCATGGGGGACATTTTCTTACGGGATTCTCCGGCATTATTTTTTACACGTTATTCTTCCCCATCCGTTTAATGCAATTTTAATGTTTCAGAAGTCACATGCTTCAGGCTGACTCGAAAGAAATGTACGATGCCTGGATCACAGCGCTACAGAAAGGTATCGGAGCCGCGATTCAGAGAGTGCAAAGTTGCGATTTGGATAATCACAAAAACAATGTCGGCAATTTGCACAGGCATTCGAATAAGGAAACGCGGAGGAGTCAAAACGGGCCGCTGTCTAAAGATACAAGTAAAATGAAAAAAATAAAGTAAGTTCGCAGTTAGTCTGTCAAGGGCTGTCTTAAAAATGTGGTTCCCAAAAAATGTGTAAGAAAAAAAATACGTTTCAAATGGTGGATTCGTTTTTCAAATAAAAAATTCCCTGTGCCTGAAAAAAATGTGTGTACCTTATTTTTGAGACAATCGTGTGGCGTTTCATCCTTATTGGAAATCATCAGTACGAGACAGATCCTCTGACAACGAACAAAGCAAAGAATTTTCGTCTATACGAGAAACTTGACGTTGACGTAAATAGTGATAAAATAATAATAATAATAATACTTATTCACTCAATGTACAAAGATAACAAACAATATGAGTAAATAAATATAAAATCAAAACAGGCCCAATAGAAGGCATCGCCTGTACATGGACCAATAAATTTAAGTTGAAACTGTAGAATGCAAATGACAAAAAAGGACAAAAATTAGTTACAGTAGATTATGTATTTAGTTGATGTTCGTATTTATGAGTTTATGAATTTCAGTCCTAGATATAGAATGTAGCCACTTTTTTAAATTTCTTTTGAAACAATTTCCGAAACGTAAGTCTTTAGATATGATCGCTGCATTATAGATTTATGCGGTTGAGGAACTACTGTGCCACGAATTTTGTACCTGGTATAATGATTATGTTTAATTTTTGGTCGGTGTTACAAATTTATGGTAGTGAGTGATACTGTGTATGAAATAAAGCTGTCTTATATCATACATTCGAACATCTGCGTATAATTTTTCAGTGGGATAAAGTTTCGGTTTTTTAAATATCATTTTTAGAATACTTTTTTGAAAAACATCTAAATTATAGATATGTGAGGAACATGCAGCTCCCCATGCTAATATACCATATGTGAGATGAGGCTCAATCAGTGCATGGTATAATGTTCGAAGATATTTTTCTGTCAATATATTCCCAAGGTATTTAATTTTGTAGGATACAAATCTAACTTTCTTTAAAATATAATTGACATGGATGTCCCATCGTAAGTGAGGATCCAAGACCACTCCAAGGTATTTTATGTTGGGCACTCTATTAATTTGAATTTTTTGATCATTAATATTGAAGGAGAAATTTGTGTAATTTGGCAGATGTCTAGCATAAGATCCAAATGGTAAAAAATGTGTTTTAGAGTAGTTAATGCTTAATTTTCTACTGTTAAACCACCGAATAATTTTGATAAAATCATTTTTAATTACATTTTTCAGATCAGACCCAGTCAGTGCCTTCATATAATATTGCAGTATCATCTGCAAAACTAGTTATTTTGCAACACAATTATTTGGAAAATATCATTTAAATATATATTGAATAACAGCGGACCTAAGACAGTTCCTTGTGGGACACCACACTTAATATACATTTCTTTACTAAATGATCCTGATATCTGCACAGATTGTGGGCGATTTGACAAATAACTTTCGATCAGTGAGTACGCGTTTCCTCTGAAACCAATTCTCCCAATGCTTCTAATAATAATTTGTGATTAACTGTGTCGAAAGCTTTCTTTAAATCAACAAAAATGCAGAAGGGATTCTGTTATCAATATTTTGATGTATTTGATTTACAATTTTAGTTATTGCGTCCGATGTAGCCTTCCCTTCTGTAAATCCATATTGATTTTCACTTAAAATTTTGAATTTTGTGAGGTATCGAATCATTTGTTTTAATTGTTAATTTTGCAGAATGTGGGAACAGCTGTTGAAAATTCCTGGCAATAATTTCTGTTGCGACTGCGGCAGTCCCAATCCTAGGTGGGCTAGTATTAATTTGGGAATCACCTTGTGTATTGGTACGTAAGACTATTTATATTCCTAATTGAAATAGATCGAAACCGTGCTCGAAAGTAGAAATGTGTTAACACAACACATCTTAAGAAGCGTGCATTGCTGCTGAATGAAAGTGGTTTGAACATTTATTGTGCATTTAATGAATACATTCATGAATTAATAAAAGTCTGTTTTGCTGACTATCACTCCGTTTAAGAAAAAAATTAAATTTGTAGTAATGAAATACCTATCATTGCAGGGTGTCGATTTTTCCGGATTTTTTTATATTTTTCTGATAACTATTGAGGTCGACTTATGGGACACCTTGTACAAAGCC